AAGTGCAGCCAGAATGCTCCTTGGAAGCAAGAATGGCCAGACTTCGTCTCACCTATTTTGGTCATGTTGTAAGAAGGGACCATTCCTTGGAGAAGGATGTCATGCTTGGTTGGGTGGAGGGTCGACGAAAGAGGGGGAGGCTTTCAGGGAGATGGATTGATACGGTGGCTGCGATGATGGGCTCAAGTATAGCAGGGATTGTGGGGCTGGCGCGGGATCGGGCAGTGTTTCATTCTCCTGTGCATGGGGTTGCTATGAGTCAGAAACGACTCTACGTCACTGAACAACAACAACATAGGGTTTCTGTGAGTCAGAGTCAATTCAGTGGCTCACAACAGCAGTATGTAGGTGCCTGAACTCCATGCTAGATGATTCTATGTGATTAATTATCTATGCAGTCTCTTCCATCAGTACACAGGCCATTTGAGAAATCTGACTGGGAGTAGATTAATTGATTGCCACATTTGCTGCTGCAAACAGGCTTAATGGCATGAACTTTAGGCAGAATTCAAAGATACAGAGCTAGCCTGCTCCTTCACTCTGTTTAGCTCAATATGAGAGTCTTTGGAGATTAGGTAAATCAGCTCCCCATCTCCCTACCTAAATTGCATTCTGCTGAAGGGAAGAGTTCCCAGCTGTGAAGAATTCCCAGCTGTGAAGTTCAGTGATTTATACTTCTTTGTATCTCATAGTTTGCACATAATTTGGACTCGATGCATTCTTGATACTTGTTTGGTTATAAAATATTTGTTTTCTCCCATATCTTCTACTTTACCTCCACACACATAAACATGCTTTCCTAGTAAGTGTACTTAACTTTGCTATAAAGAGTTTAAATTCAACTCAGTATCTGGTCCTCTAGAAATCAACGTGAATTTAAATTCTAACTTTTGTAATATCGTAGGAATGTGAATGTAGCACCCTGTTAATGGAAGTGAATGAATGAGATTTCACTAACATCTTTCTCTAACTTTTCCTTTCATTTTTCAAGTTTCCATGTTTCCTCCCACCTGAGACCACATTTAAACCACCATTTTGCCTTGAATGCTGAGAAAAATTACTGAAGAAAATTCATACCTTGATTATGTCTCTGAGGCCCAAAGCTTGTCCATTTGATGAATTTGTCCTTTGTTTTCTAACTAAAGCTTCTTTGATTTATTTCTATTTAGAATGTTCTAAATAAGAGAAAAATCCTTCAATTCATTAGAATTCTTTTGGTTGTTTAGAAGATTTAATTCAAATTATTTACGCAAAAAAATAGTTTATTGACTTACGTAATGAAAAAGCCCAGGGTATTCAATTTTAGGCACAATTGTGTCTACAGAATCATACACTGTCACAGGGACTAATTTCTCTTCCTTTCACAGCTCTTTCTTCATTGTGTTAGCTCCATTCTCAAAAAGGTAAGGTCTCTCCTTCTGGTGACAAGTTAGCTGCTAGCCTTCTAAGATTAATAGTCACCCAAAGGAGGGGCGCCCACCCCATCCCCAACCTCAATTCTAATAAAGTACTCTGGATTGTATCTCACAGACTCTGATTGGGTCTTTGCTATGTATTGGCCCACCCATACATAGGCAGTGAGCTGAGCCAGCTCTCTATCAGTCAAGAGTTGGGTAGTTAGGGTACCCTGATAGGAATAAATCAAAATAGGTGCAGGATAGGCAAAAACCACAGGGCTTCTCTATACTCTGCTTTTGGAAAAGATGATGACACTGGTCAAAAGGGACAGAGAAGCAGTAACTAAATGAGCAGGGATACACTTCTTGCTGGAAGCTGTAAAAGAAGTATGAAAAAAAAAGTTAGATATTTTAGGTAGTAGAGATTTTTTTTTTTTTAATACCTCGTTTCTCCTTTGATTCACTTATTAAACTTAGAAATTCCTGATTAAAAACATTTGCGGCTAGAGCTTACTATATCATATACAGTAGCATATGTATTAACCAATATAATCTTCATAATAACCTTATGAGACTAATACTATTATTATCTCTGTTTTGCAGATGAGGAGAGAGAGGCATGGAGAGATATTTACGTGCAGACACACAATGTGAGAGAACCAGGATTTAACCTAAATAGTCAAAAAATCATATGCTGAACTGCCTGGAACCTGAATGTTAATTCTAAGTCCTCATTATTCTCAAGCTATCAGCCACAGCTACCATAATTGTTCATGTTCTTCTCCTTGATATTTACTCTTCCCTGTGCTTCTAGGGCATTATCTCTGTTGTTTTCCTCCCTTACTTGCCACTCCTTCTAAAGGTTCTTTGCTATTCCTTCTCATTTTGTCCTTTTAAAATTAGAATGCCCCAAGCTTGGTCCTTAGAAATCTCTCCTTTATCTGCACACTTCCTTGAATTATTCATCCAGTCCCATGACATTAAATGCCATCCGTATCCCACTGACTCCAAATTTATATCTCTAGCCTGGATCACTTCTCTGAACTCTAGACTCATATGTCCAACTGCCCACTCCACATTTCTATTTGGAGGACTAGTTCACCTCTCAGGCTTAAAATGTCCAACATCAAACTTCTATTCTTTATGCTCAAATATGCTCCATGCCAACTCCATCCTTTCAGTTACTCAAGCCAAACATCTTGCAGTTATACTTCACTACTACTTTCCTCTCACTCTTCCCATCCAATATGTCTGGAAGTTCTATTGGCTCTAACCTTCACAGTCTATCCTAAGTCTCATCAAGTCTCATTGCCTTCACTGTTACCATCCTCATCTCTCATCTAGATTATTGAAATAGACTCCTAAATTCTTCTTACTTGTCTTATTACAATTTATCCTCAACTGAGCTATTAGAGAAGTTCTATTAAAATGTTTTTGTGAAATTTTCTATGGGTTCAGGAAATCTGTCCTAAATTTGTAAAACCTAAAGATGCTGCCATATATTCTTTTTTTTCACAGTAGTTGCACCATTCTTCTTCTTCTTATTATTTTTGCAGTGTTTCTTCCCCTCCCCTCCTAGCCCTGGTAACCAACAAAGAAAGTTTCCTTGCATATATAAAACTTTCCTTAACTTTTCACAATAATGACCTAATATAATATTTGTCCTTCTGTGATGGACTTATTTCACTCAGCACAATGTCCTCCAAGTTCATCCATGTTATGTGGTGTTTTGCAGATTCTATATTATTCTTTAGTGTTGCATATTCCATTATGTGTATGTGCTGTAGTTTGGTTATCCATTCTTCTGTTGATGGGCACATAGGTTGTTTCCATCTTTTTGCTATTGTAAATACTACTGAGATGAACATGGGTGTGCATGTATCTGTTCTTGTCTTGACTCTCACTTCTTAGGATATATACCTAGTAATGGGATTGCTGGGTCAAATGACACTTCTAATTCAACTTTTTAAGGAATTGCCATACTTCTTTCCACAGTGATTGTATCATTTTACAGTCCCACCAGGAGTATATGAGAGTCCCAATCTCTCCACATCCTCACCAGCATTTGTTATTATTTGTCTTGTTGAACTTTGCTACTAGTGCTGGAGCAAGATGGTATCTCACTGTTGTTTTGATTTGTATGTGTCTAATGGCTAATGATCATGAACAATTCTTCATGTGTTTGTTGGCCACCTGAGCATCCTCTTTGGTGAAGTGTCTATTCATGTCTTCTGCCTATTTTTGAATTGGATTATCTGTCTTTTTGTTGTTCAGGTGTTGGAGTTTTCTATAAATTTTAGAGATAAGTCCCTTGTCAGATATGTCATTGCTGAATATTTTTCCAATCTGTAGGTTTTCTTTTTTTTTCTTTTGGAGAATTGTTTTGAAGCACATAAAATTTTAATTTTTAGAAGGTCCCATTCATCTAGTTTATCTTTTGTTTTAACATTTTGGGTATGCTTAAGAGTCTATTTATTCCATAAATTAGGTCCCCTAAATGTGCCCCTATTTTTTCCTTGAGGAACTTTATAGTTTTAAGTTTCATGTTTAAGTCTTTGATTCATCTGGAGTTAGTTTTTGTGTATGGTGTAAGGTACGAATCTTGTTTCACTTTTATTCTGGATATCTAGTTTTGCCAGCACTGTTTGTTAAAGAGACCATCTCTTCCCTATGTAATGGATTTAAGCCCTTTGTCAAAGATCAGCTGACCATAGGTCAATGGATCTATTTCTGGGTTCTCAATTCTATTCCATTGGTCTATGTATCTGTCATTAAACCAATACCAGGCAGTTTTGACTACTGTGGCTGCATAGTAGGTTTTGAGAACCAGGAGTGTGAGACCTACTTTGTTGTTCTTCAATAGTGCTTTGTTTATCTGAGGTCTCTTTCCTTTCCATATAAAGTTAGTGATTGGTTTTTCCATATCTTTGAAGAATGTTGATGGGATCTGGATTGGAATTACATTCAAAGTATAGATTTCTTTGGGTAGAATTGACATTTTCACAATGTTCAATCTTCCTTTCCATGAGCATGGTGTGTTCTTCCACTATGTAGATCTCTTATGGTTTCTTGAAGTAGTGTTTGTAGTTTTCTTTGTACAGGTCTTTTGTCTCCCTATTGTTGTTGCTATGTTCTGTTGAGTCGGACCCGACTCATAGCAACCCCTCCTACGGGGTATCACTACGGAAGTAGATTGGCCAACCTTCCTTCTGAGGAGTGGCTGGTGGGTTTGAACCACCAGCCTTCTGATTAGCAGTCAAGTGCCTTAGGCACTATTTCCAAGTATTTTATTTTGTTGGTAGCTATAGTAAATGGTATCAATTTTCTTATTTCCTTTTCAACAATCTTTTTGCTGGTGTAGAGGAATCCAACTGATTTTTGGATGTTGATCTTGTGTTCTGCCATTATGCTAAGTCTCTCAGTTAGTTCCAGTAGATTTTTTTTGCTGAGTCTCTTAGGTTTTCTAGGTATAAGATCATGTCATCAGCAAATAGGGATAGTTTGACTTTTTGCCTTTGATTTTCCTTTCTTGCCTTATTGCCCTGGCCAGGACTTCTAATACAGTGTTTTATAGAAGTGGTGATAGAGAGCATCCTTGTTTGGTTCCTGTTTGCAAGGGCAATGGTTTCAGTCTCCGTTGAGAATAATGTTGGCTATTGGTTTTGCATATATGCCCTTTATTATGTTAAGGAATGTCCCTTCTATTCCTATTTTGCTGAGAGTTTTTATCAGGAATGGGCATTGGATTTTATTAAATGCCTTTTCTGCATCAATTGCTATGACCATGTGTTTCTTTTCATTTGTTTTATTTATGTGGTCGATGACGTTGATTGTTTTTCTAATGTAGAACCATCCGTCTAATGTAGAATCATCCTTGTGTGACACCTAATGGGTTATAATGTGTTATTTTTTTGATATGTTGTTGCAGTCTATTGGCTAGGATTTTGTTGAAGATTTTTGCATCTATATTCCTGAGGGATAGCGGTCTGTAGTTTTCCTTTTGAGTGATGGCTTTGGCTGGTTTTGATGTCAAGGTTATGCTTGCTTCATAAAATGAGTTAGGGAGGATTCCATCCTTTCTGTTTTCTGGAATAGTTTGAGTAGGATTGGTGTCAGTTCTTCTCTGAACATTTGATAGAATTCTGGCATGAAAGCATCTGTGCCAGGGCTCTTTTTTTTGGTAATTGTTTTTTTATGACCTGTTCAATTTCTTCTTTTGTTATAGGTCTGTTCAAATTTTGCACCTCATTCTGTGTTAGTTTAGGTAAGTATTATGTTTCTAGAAATCTGTCCATTTCTTCTAGATTTCAAATTTGTTGGCATATAGTTCTTCACAGTATCCTGATATTATCTTTTTAATTTCACTTGGTTCTGTTGTGACGTCACCCAATTCATTTCTTATTTGTGTTATTTGTATTTTTTCTCCTTTTTCCTTTGTTAAATTTGCCGGTGGTTTATCAATTTTATTAACCTTTTCAAAAAATCAACTTCTAATCTTGTTGATTTTTTTTATTGTCTTTCTATTTTGTTTCATTGATTTCTCCTTGAATCTCTATTATTTCTTTTCTCCTGGTGACTGTAGGCTTATTTTGCTGCTCTTTTTCTAATTGTTGGAGATGTTGGCTTAAGGTGTTGATTTAGGGTCTTTCTTCTTTTTTAGATGTGTGCATTTATTGGTATAAATTGGCCTCTGATCACTGCTTTTGCTGTGTCCCAAAGATTTTGGTATGTTGTGTTTCATTCTCATTTGATTCAAGAAATTTTTTTTTATTTCATTTTTTATTTCTTCTATTACTCAGTCATTTTCAAGGAGGATGTTATTCAGTTTCTATGTGTTTGCTCTTTTTCCATTGATCTTCCTATTGTTGATTTCTAATTTGATAGCACTGTGATACAAGAAGATGCTTTGCAGTATTTCAATGTTTTTAAATTTATTAAGGCTTGCTTTGTGGCCTAACATATGGTCTATCCTGGAGAATGTTCCATGTGCACTGGAAAAGAATGTATATTGTGCTGTTGTTGGGTGAAGTGCTCTGTAGATATCTATATGATCAAGTTGGTGGATTGCATTATTTAATTCTTCTGCATCTTTATTGAGTTACTTTCTAGTTCTATCTTTTATTGAAAGTGGTTTATTAAAGTCTCCTACTATGATTGTGGAGTCGTCTATTTGTGTTTTCAATTCTATTAAAGTCTGATTTATGTAGTTTGGGGTTATTTCATTGGGTGTATAGATATTTATTTTGGTTATGTCCTCTTATTCAATCAATCCTTTAATCATTATATATTGTTCTTTCTTCTCTCTTATCGTGGTTTTTGCCTTAAGGTCAGTTTTACCGGAAATTAATATTGCCACTCCTGCTCTTTTATTTGCTT